CAATAAGGTGACATATTCTTAAGATCAAAAACCTCGTTTGGGTAATTGTCTTTGTATTCCGTACGGATGAACGCGTTAACAAAGGGACCTCTTTTTTTCCCAAACATTATAACGTACGTTACAGCGACTAGCAGTGAGTGTTAGTGAAAATATTTTTTTGAATTAGGATGTTCCGCGATGGAATTCGAGCGCTAGTTAAGGGACGATTTGTGAAATTTAGTGACTTCGGCGAACAAAGTTCCGAAAACTTGATAGTTAGTTGAAGTTTTAAAGTCTAAGTTTTGGTTTAGTTCTAAATACCATGTTTCCAATCCTGCAAATTCATGCGCGCTTGTAAAGTGAATCTGATGTTTTTCGACGACGCTGAAATTACAAATAGAGAGCTAAAACCTTCACATTTGCCTTATTGCGTTACGTTGTTTTATTTCATTGTTTGAACTAGGGTTTTTTCCCTCCTCAACAGTGACGGCTAATGTCAGACATCTGACAGTTGATTCCATCTATTTTGCCATGAATCGTGATCCAAAGCACGATCTTACAAAATTATCCATTAATACAACATAAAATTATCGGAAACACTTTGACTAAGTTACCTACCTTACGCTTCTCATAGATTGGGAGATTTGTCTTGGTCGTTTTCCACACAATGTTTGTGGGCTCTATTGAAAGCGAAAACACTTCCCGTCACGCTTCAAAGGGCAAGTAAATTAATGCTGAATTCCACAAAGAAAAATATCAGAAATCATATTTTATTCATGGCTTGTCTTCTTTTCCTTTTTTCTTTAATTAGGATTGAAAATCGCATTGAAGCACAATCTCGACCTGCATTAGAAAAATTCTCAGTTCCATATGATGGTGGCTAAATCCGACATGGATGAAAACATTGGAGAATAAAATACGTAAGAAAAACATTGCGTCATTTTTAAGTCGGGACTACAAAACTTCATAACAAAAATTCATGAACTGGAAATTTTTTCACTTGATAATCTTCAGAAACCTTTAAAACAAATATTTTTTTCGCATCATCATCATGATTGAAAAACAACTGCTGTTGGATGAATTGATCAGCCGGTCGAATCATGTAAGATATCTTGGTGCGTTTGGAATGATGTTAAAAGATTTGCATACTCGTTGCTGCAGATGTAAATCGTTTTAGTGTTGGTTGTGATTAACATTCCTAGTCACTGAAGCATCAATCAAAGAAACAGACTATTCAACGGAAGTCAAGTGTACCTTAACGGTCCTGAACAACACCCCTTTAGACACTATCCGCGATACGTTTTCGAATCTGGGCGTCGGCAGGGCAGAGCTGATTAACAAAATGCTACGCCACAGGTATGCGGTCAGTAACGCGGGCTCAAGCGCACGAGGTTTAAAATTCAGCTAAATTTGTGAAGAAGAAAGGGGCTGGCATTTAAAACCATGGTATTTTGTTGTCGTCGAAGGTATTTTCCTATTTGGGGGGTTGTTCTGTAAAAGGAAGCTAAGGCGGCAAGGAAAACAACGCCTCGAAGCAACAAAATGGAAATCAAACATGCAAACGACTCAAAATCCGTTTTCCGCAGTTTTTTCCGCGCCAAAGCGTGGCGCATGTACAGACGTTATTCAGCTCTGTCGGTGGTAGTTTGGACGAACATCGAGAAAGAACGAGCCTCTAGTGTATCAGCGGTGTCTCTAAGAATCGGATTGGCCTATGTATCCCGTGCGTTCAATTTGTTACGTAAAACCGTACAAACCAATAATTTCTATACCATTCATAGTCAACGATTGCATAAACTAGAATGTCCGTTTAAAAATTGTACTTAGTAGAAATACTAAATCGATTGCCTCCCTTCTCTGACCCTCTAAAATAAAGGTTAAGAGGTGGGTAAAAATTTCCATTGGGGGTGGGGGAGGCTACAACTTAATTTAACTTATAATATAACCTTTTCTTGTTGAAATAGACAGGTGTCAAATTGCAATCCCAGACCCCCACCACTTTCAAATTTCTACGCAAATGAGGTAGTGAATATTAGAGATAAGCAGGGTTAGGGTGTTACGTCAAAAATTGCACAGGAAAAGTACGTGGTGTGCTTCACTAATGAGCTCCTAGTTAGGTTTCTCAGTCGATTAAAATGCTGACTCCATTCGCAGTGGAATCTTCCTCGGCTTTGAAACGACGTTCACAGCCTGAGGCGAAGGGAGACTATACGGTTTAAGGATTAAGAAAATTTAGATGTCCCGTATGGGAACCCAGGCGAATGGTGCATAATGCTTGAGCCAAGTGTGAGAGTTACTGGGCTCTCAGTGGTTGACACGTAATTATTTTACCGTTTAATTTATGATTTACTTCTGGCTTTTAAACGAGCTCTTATTCGTGGTTAATGTACTCATCAAATATCATTGAAAGAAGATCCTTAAATTGTAGGAATATATGTAAAGACGTCAATTAAAATCTTGTTTCTTTAACATTCTGTTCTTCGTCTGATGTTTGCAAGGCAGAGTTGGCATAAAACAAACTCGCAACTTCTTTGGTCCCGCAATTTCTTGTTTCGATTATATTTGTTACATCTATATCCGTGGTATTTACTATCTGAGGATGAGACAGACCAGATAAAGTGTTTCCAGCCTGAGCTCTTTCCCCAGTTATGGATAAAGTAGGAGAAGACTGCATGTTTAGTTGTGTGGTTTTAGGATTATCAATAATACTTTTGCATTTTAAAGAGCCGTGCACTATAACACCGTTATGGTTTTTTCTTGAATGTCTCGTGCTCGTTCGATTATCAGAAAGGCTGGGAAGGGCTAAGCGTCTTTCTTTGCAGCAAAAGATGGATCGAAAAAATCGAACATACCCTTGACGAAACCGTCCGGTTAAAGAACCATATGCAATCGGGTTCACGCATGCGTGAAGGAATAACAAAGCTTCTGCGCATGTCCAAAAAGCTTTTGTAAGCCCAGCGTACGAGGCACCTCCAAAATCTAAAAGCACCCAAGCAATTTGATTTGGTAACATACAGGCCATGAATAGAGTCACAATAACCGCTAGAGTTCGAATGATTTGAATGTTTTCGCTCCTGGTCTTCTGTCTGATGACCTGACCGCGAGAGTTTATTGAAGTTCGCATTGGTAACCGGGAAGTGATTAAACGCATAGTAATTCTCAGGTACGCAGTAGCGATTATTGCTAGAGGCAGGACGTACTGAAATCCAAATAGTACCGCAGTGTAGGCTTGGCGATATGAAAACTTTGGCCAACGTTCGGTACATAGAACACCTCCCGAACGTGCCGCAATCATAAGAGGAACAATCGTTAAGAAGGCGAAGATCCATATCAGGAAAATCCATATCAATGTGGCCTGTAGTTTGATTCTCGGTTGCAAAGGGTTTGTGATTCCTCGACACCGTTCAACTGCCATGGACGTTAAGGTGAAAACGCTGACTGATAAAGTAACCGACATCATTGGCCAAAGTAGTTTACAGTACAATAAATTCTTGTTAAACGGACGATAAAGGTCGTT